TTGGTTTCTTGCTTTAATGTGATTTTATTTTATTTGTCTTTATATGTTTGTCTACATAAACTCATTATTATAATTAGTAGTAGTAGTACTATGAGTAGTAGTAGTAGTAGTAGTATTATGTTTACAAAGTTGTGGCCGGAAATGCAGTTTTATGTTACTGGATGACATTGACAGAGGTGATGATAGCGCGGTGGTAAATTACTGCAACAACTTTCCGGAGGATCCATCCCCTGTTGCCTGCAGAGCATCCGGAGCAGACACAGGGACCGGACCCGTCACGTTATCACCTGCAGCAACAGCTGTCTTATTTGGAAGCAAAATCACGCACAGCGACAGACCAGGGCTGACAGGCTGGGACCCCAGATACCAGCAGCTGGAAGTGTAAGAATGAATAATAATGAACACTGTTAACTTATATGTTGCATGAGATGTTGCTAAAAGGATGACATTGTCAAGCTTGCTAGAGTTAAACTCGGCGTTTCCGGTCCGAAATGCAACATGCAGCCACCAAGAGAGGACGCTGATCCGATCAAAGACAGTTGAATATCAGTTTAAGCTGCATATCATTGTACGAGATGACCCGATGAAAGGATTGCACGTATTCGAGCTCCATTACAAATCAGTCAACCCCCCCAGGCTTATTCCTCCCGCACTTTTATTCTGACAGCCTCATCTGAGAGTTTCCTGTCGGCGGTGGCAGAAGCTGCGGGGGTTTGACGGAGCTGCTGGTGGAGCGGTGGCCGCAGAGCAGAAGTGAAGTTGAGCATCTCCCTCCCGCAGGTGATGTCCCCTCACGCACGGTGTCAGTGAGCCGCTGTCCGACACGCCGCCGCGGGCTGAGCTTGCGGTGCTTCTACCGGGACATTAACCGCGAGCTGACGGGACGGCTGTTTCCCTTGCGAGGCGTGTTTTCCTTGAGGTGAACGGTAAGATAACAGAAAACAAACAAAAGGCAGCTAGCGTGGCTAAGCGGGGCTGAGGGGAACCTGCTGCCCGCCTCCCCGGTGTGTTTGTCCCGGACGTGTCGGACCGCTGTTGCGGCTGCTGAACCCGGTGCCGGGGCTCGTCTCCTCCACAGAACTGGCTTCATTCATTGTCTGCGAGAGGGAGGAGGCGGCGGCGAGCTGCGGCAAGTGAGCCAGAGTTGGACATAACAACACAGGAAGTGAGCTGATTTCAGGTTCAAAATAAACGTCGTGGATTTGCCTCGTGTTTGGAGTAACGCTGTCGGTGGATGCAGCTGAGGTGATGCTAAAATACTTAACTTAAAACCGGAACATTAGCAGAAGAGGTAAAAGTGTTTTATTTTGAAAGGAGTGTTGAGGTGTATTTTGGGGCTTTGATGTGCATTTGGAGGCTATGATATTCATTTTAGCCTGTCGCTGGTGATAGTACCACAACTGTGTGTGTGTGTGTGTGTGTGTTCCGCTATGTTGCATTGTGTAGTAAAACTGCTTCTACTTCACATCAGTGATTTGTCAGTCGATGTCACACAGCACAATTGGCGCTGTGGTTTGGGAACGCAGCTCTGCAGGTGTTTTTGTGTCTCACAACAGCAGCTAGCGCCTGTTACACTCATTAAAAACCCCTCACATGTAGCTTTTATTTTCACACACACATATATATAGGTGTGTATCCTGTCTAGTGGCTCGTGGTTATTGTCAGTTGCGTTACACAGTGCTACATCAGCGTGATGCCAGCGACCCCGATTGTGTGAAAACCAGACTCCTTGAAAAATATGACCGTTTTATATTTACTCAACCGTCTGCAAGCGTGCATGCACGTTAAGAACTCGACTGAATGTGCTTTTTAAAAGCAAATGTTGCTTTTGTTGTTCGGCTATCACACTACCTCTATTTGCCAATTTCATATCGTCCATGCATACTTCAAGTTCGGTGGAAGATCACAGAGCTTAAGCTCCTCATTTACTCAATTTGCCAACGCCGAACGTACACCTTGACCTTCAGTCTTCAGGAGATACAGTTCGTCTTGTTTTTAAGTATACGCCCTAGGCTGAGGAGCATATTTAGTCCTAAATGCATGATTATTATAAAGGAACTCGGCGTCGCCTTTTTTCTCCACCACATGCAACAGAAGGAGAAAGCCGTGGACGCCAGCAGCTGCACACCGCCTCCCTGCTGCTCGGACATCGCTGCGTAACCTGCCTGCAACGCAGCCAACATGACATCATGCGTGAGAAACAGTCCCGTTCTGGGCGGATTCTGCTTATTTATTTATTTGCTTACTTATTTGGGTCCGCGGGATCTAATCGCCGATAACATTACATAATCACTACTGGGCTTAAATTTGTGGCTTGAATTTGGTTGTCAGTGACGTGGCCAAGTGGATAAGCTTTAACGTCCCATCGTGCTAAAGTGAATTTAGACATGAGTGACGGTTTTTTTGTTCCCGTCCCAGTTGAAATGATATAAGAATAAATATGTGTGTGTGTGAGAATGTGTCTACACAGAGGCAGGAAATGACCGAGTGAACATTACAACTCTGCAGCGCTGACACACTCCTCATTGCAATGAGGCGCGCTGGATTGGAGGGCATCTGAGGACAGCTGTGGTGCTGGCAACATTGCTCTGCTGCAAAACACTTAACACAATAGGACACTTTCTGTTTTTCATCTGCTCAAGTGGACAAGACTGGTTTATTGGAATATCTTTTGTTCTCTGCACGCACACACGTGTCCGTGCAGTGAAGCAATAACTCTTGATGCGTATATTTAATCTGTATGATATATTTGGATGTCTTCATGCTACCAGTTTTGGGAGGGAGGGGCAAGAATGGCGCTGGAACAATTATTTTCAAAAGCATTTAAAAAAAACAAAATGCAAGTCTTTAAAACATCTGTAGTAAAATGCTCATCAGGGGTTGCTGGAGCCCAAGGTGCCCTCTTCAGACAGTTTTTTTTCTGACCAACCGTCAGAGAGTCATATATATTCAGTTTGCAATGATAAAAAACAGACAAAAGGACCAAATATTAGAATTATGTTCAACCTAACATTCAAGATGTGTGTGTTTTAAGCAATGTTATCAAGCCTTTTAAACACATTTAAACAAATCTCTAATATCAGCTTGTTTCATGCAAACTTGCACAGATACATAACATAGTAACATTAATTTACATGCAAATAAAATGTATAAATGTTAAATATTTCACATTTTTTACTTGGTAAATAATTAAATGCTCGATGATAAAAACAATTCTACCTTATGACTAATAGGTCAATCAGCATGCTTTGAGTTTTTATTGATCACCTGCACGGCTGATATTAGTGTGAACACAACACCACTTGTTATGACCGTGTATTCTCATCTTCTTTGTATCTGAAGGGAAACATGGTGACAGGAGGCACTAATGAGAAACAGATGCACGCAACTCAGTCCAGGGAGAAGCGACTTCTCTATCATGACCATTGTACAGTACAATCTTAATCGTTGAACCACATGAAGTGCTGTCATCATTTAACTCGAACCCCAGTCTGCCTCTCTGTGTGTGTCATGTTGTCCTGCTGTCTCACTGCGCATTGACGGGGTCAGATATTTGTCATTCCGTTGTCACACTGTGTCCTTGACGGGGAATTTCTATCCCCAAAGGACCTGTGGAAAAAGACAGTATCTGTGAGTGTTGTCGTTTATTATCATTTTTCCTCTCCCTGGTGTTGTCCTTCACCTTAGGAAGGATGCACAGAGGGGACATAACACTCCACGACTGTGTGCTCCAGCAGTCGGGTGTGATGCTGTGTACCTGCATCAATCACTCACCCGCAGGAGGCAGAGACTGTCATTTGTTGTCGCAGGATTGCTGGTGAGGGGAACATTGACCTCATGTACCCTTTGATAGCATTACGCATCATTTTTGAAACTGAACACGTTCCTTACGTCATAAATCTGTCAGTTGTAACATGAATATATACACATTTAGGGGGCAGTTTAACACCAGATCAGTGAGCTCAACATGAGGAGTACTTTTCTGTGTGCGTGTAGTGTCTGCTGTAGTCCTGGAGGAGCTTTCTAAAGTCTGAAAAAATAACCTTGAATATGACATTGGGATTGTGCTGTTATCTCATAGCGAAAAGCTGGTGTTGTAATGCAGGTGTGGAAGCGTGAAAGACATGAGTATGTACCAGGCTGCTGACCAGACATGACATTAACATGCGTCTTGGGTGATCGGGCCATGACAGGACAGCCCTAAGTGTGTCAGTTCACACCTGACAGCAGAATTTGTCTCTTTGTGTGTCTCCCATGACCACTTATGATAGGATCCTTTCCACAGGCTACATCATTGCTGCCTGCCAAGATCAAATGTTATCATTTTCAGCCAGCAGGAGGCAGCAATGCACTTCTTGTGCCTAATCTGCCAGAAATTAAAGGTCCAGTGTGTAAGATTTAGGTGAAAGGAATTTTTGGCAGAAATTGAATATAAAGTAATCCTAGTGTTGTCACTGGTGTGTTTCATCTAAATTGTATGAATTGTTGTTTTCTTTACCATAGAATATGCTCTTTATATCTGAAAACTATATTTACATGGAGGGGGGGGGTCCTCTCTGTGGAGGCTGCCATGTTTTTTACTGTCGTCCAAACTGGGCAAACTAAAACCTTTTGAGTTTTCATGACAACTGAAGTTCACCACAGGTTCTATTTCATGTTTGGAAGGGGAGGGTGAGATGAGGAGTATTCAGCTGCAACATGAAACTTCACCTCTAGATATCACTCAATTCTACACACTGAATCTTTAAAAGAAGAAGAAAAAAAATCAAACAATATCAACCATGGCTGCGACCGAAATCACTCAGTTTGCATTTTTGTTGTGACGTTCGAATGTTTCGTGAAATTTTGTTTCCCTATATAGTGGACTCATCGTGTCCCACAATGCATCATGAAAGGTAGTGTACAACCAATGGTCACAAACCGAGCAATATATACCATAATGCATTGTGCTTGTGGCAGAGAGTGAGGAGAGAGGGCAGCAGGAACAGTGCGACCTGTTGACCATGTACAAATGTAAATAAGAGCAAAGCAGTAATTCACAGCAGAAACTGCAGCAAACAAGTTTATTTCGTTTACTTAAAGATGGTCATTCAATGTGTCTTTTACCTAAAAGTATTAAGTGCAGTGTTGTTGTTTTTTTTCCCTTTTGCCCATGAGCTCACTATATACTGTAGTCCTCTACATAGAAGTCCCTATATAGTGAAGTAGGCGTTAGTGAATGAGTGATTTCCGATACAACTCATAGACTCATAGTCAACATGATGGCAGCTCCCCCAAAGTGAAGCCAAAGAGTCTTGATCGGCACCTGATGGCTGGCTGCAGTGAAGGTCATAAATCCTGCCTGCTCCATTCTAAAAGGTGGGACACAGACCAAAGTCAAAGTACATATCAACCAAATTTTGTCAAAGATGGCTTCTTACATTTACGATAGTTCTTGTCAAAATCATTTATGTTCAACTATTCATTTTTACATTATGTCTGATTTTATTTTGTTATTTGATATTATAAAAATGGGGGGAAACATCACGATTGACAGCTGAGACTGACTCACAGACTGGCTCCAAATGTTCAAGATGGCAGCATTCATATAGATATTCTCCGATATGGATATGAATATTGCTTATCAAGTTTTTGTCTGTTTAAACCACAACCGACCGACTGATATGAAAATGTTTATCTTGTTATATTGATAACATATCGCTCAGTCCATCCCCAATGCGTATTGGATTCCACACCTTGCTGCACTGCTACATTAAAATATTTATTATCCATCTCAGAAATATTTAATCTAACTTTATTTTAATCACCATTTTGGGTTTTATTTATTGATTTATGTTATATGAATTATATCATTTTATCCTGAAGACTGTTTAAATGTTATATATATTTATTTTCATGTGATTATCAAGCATGTTGAGCTTCTTTTCTTAGATAGAAGATGCTATAGAAATATAATGTATTATCATTATTATGATTATTATTATTGTTATTATTATTATTATTATTAACTGCTGAAATGCAGCGTGCCAGCACTTTAATCCATAGCAACTTACCCAGCTCTATGCATATCAAGCATGAACAAAACCATCATCACAGCCTTTATGGACATTGTAATCCTGTTGGTTTGTTATGGATCCCTGTAGGTTAGAATCTCCCCCTAATGAGCTTAATGTTTCATGGGTGCTAAAGTGGGAGCATAATGGCCTTATTGTGGCACTGATAGGCCCGAAGCCCAAATGGCTTTCACTGTGTTTGCCACTGGAGCCAGAATGGCGTAAGTGTTTTTTTGACACTGGGCATTAGCAACACTGCTCAAAGGGTAACCATTCTCAAAGTTAACTCTGCCCGGCTCGTAACACACACAGTGGTGGTATGATAAACATTTATGTGGTGCTCAGAGTCTCCGAATGTGTCCTAGATGTCCCACAGCGTGCTGCTGCATTATAAAACTGCATACTCTCTTGGATTTTGCAAAGGCCCTGTCAAAGGTCCCTCTGTTCAGTGAAGGGCAGTGGAGCCTGAAAAAGGACAACATTGATATTCATACAGCTTGTTCTTATGGAGTCACCGGCGGGTGCCTCATCCCTCAGGTGTCACTCATTACAGTGTCCTCGGTAGCAGGTGAAATGTGAGGGCACTTGTATCGCTGTAGCTTCACTGGTGTTCTCCAGGCACTTAGCAATGGGAGAATTTGCCAAGTAAACATAAGGTCGGAACCACGCTGAAACATAAAGTGTGGTGAGGGATTGGAAATGTGTTTACAGAGGGAAAATGTGTCGTCGTCCTTCATAACTTTGCCAAAGCGGCCCCTTTGAGGACGACGTGAAAATGTATTAATGACTAAAATGGTGCATTCAGATATTTATCATGTCATTATAACGGCTCTGTATCATTAGTTTAAAGTTTGTCAATCTCAAATGTTTGTACTTAATTAATACTATTTTTCCCCCTATCCATAGGGGGTCGGTGTCAGATGTTGGAACAGTGTCTAAAACCCCATCACCCACACCTTTGTGATGTCTGACTGAATCGTGGGGATGCTCCAGATAGTATCTCTAACTTTCTGTTAATGACAATCCAACGATCACGCTCCCTCTTCAGACAGTAATCGGTAGAGAAGGTAAGTGACTTCTCTCTCAGTCCTAGTTTTGAATTTATAAACTCTAAAGGGTTCTTCTACCAGTAAACAGAGTCAGTTTGATTGTGAGCATCCTCTTGCTCTTAAGAGGCCAGTTCAGGATGTCACAGTACTTATTGTGATCACCAAGTGCAGTTTAAATAGGAAGTAGGAAATGACCGTACACCATTTCTTACAGTGGTTACAGTGCACCATGCTGAACTTGCATTTCTCTAATTGGAACAGAAATCTCTTCCCAGTGCAATATATCATCAAACTCCATGTCCTTGCCCTGAACATGGAAAAGGAAAATCTTTCACTTTAAACGACTCCCGCAGCCATAAATCATAGATTTCTTGTGCAAAACCTTGCGTTTATGATTTAAGATGTGTCATGTAACCAGCACTCACATGCAACTTATAGGATGTGTATCACACATAAACACGTGCGACTGCACATTCATATAAGGGTAACAACATTCCAGCTAGTCATGCAGTGGAAGACCCAAGGGTGGGTCCTGGTCATTAATCAGGAGGACTTCCCCCAGCCACAGAGGCAGGAGCCGAAATGTCAAATCTGCCATAAGCGAACAGATTTCCTCCCTGCCAGCAACCAGCCAAAAAACGACGGGAGCGGAAATTGACTCTCATCCTTGTTAATGAAAGGACGCACTTGCATGTGTGTGTCTGTGTGTGTTTACATCCTTGCATACGCATTTGCTTTTCCCTGTGCTTGTACACAGGAAAACGTGTTGGCTGAAGATCTTGCACGTGTGTGTTTTGAACGACGTGACGTTGGGTGTTAAGTGTCGTGTTTACATGCAATGTGTGTGTATAAATGTGCATGGGAATCAGAGCATGTGCATGCTCACTGCTAGTTGTTCTGCCTTTGGCCGCACTGCAGCCCTCTGCTGGAAGGGGTTGGATGCCGTCAGTGACCCTGGAGGCAAGCGTATGGACCCAGCTTGGGTTGCGCTGCGAGGTGGAAGGGCCTCTTGTTTCTGTGACCCCTGTGGAGAGAGCAGCCTGTCAGGCAGAAGGCCTGTCAGCTGCAGTTCTCATTCACAAATCACCTTTGCAAATGCACACAGACACACACGTGCACACATGCAGATAAGCCACAAAATGTCCCCCCAGTTAATGTCTAACCCTGCGCTTGCTCCTTTAATACATTTAATTCAAGCTATTCAAATTGTATTACAAATCCTTTATTAGATTCATCGCAGATATGAATTAATGTAGGCAATTTGTAGTAGGAGGAGGCCATCCCCTTTAAACAAATTTGACACAAATACTGCCCCCTTAAACAACCTGTCAAATTTACCATCCACTCTCAGCAATCCCCCATCCCCTCTTTGAGAGAGTGCTGTGTATGCAAGATAGTTTTGTGAGCAGGTGAGCACCCTGTAGTAAGTGCAGGCTACATAACAGGATCCACAGTTTTTTTTTTAAAGTTGAGACCGAATGGCCCGAATATCCCTCCGTAAAAATTAACAAATCACCTACTGGTTCTATCCGCTCCAGGTCCTATATTTTTGATGTGCCATTTTATGAAGCATGGTACAGTACACAAAAAAATACCCGATTTAAAGCAATAGCAATCCCAGGCTCTTGGTCATTGACATCACACATAATGAAGCTGAGCCCTTATTGACCCCAGTGTTTAACCTTCTGTGACAGGTAAAATGTATGCTGTGAAACAGGTCCAAACCAGGCCTTATTTCCCTGTTACCGTGTATTTTAGACTCAAAACCTTTTGAAAGTGGTAGTATGAGCGCGGCTGGTATTTAGGCAGCTCATTATGTTATGATGAGCTATAAACACATCGACATATGACTGTATAAAGATCTCATGGTGAAATTTGTAGCCTCCTTACCATCCCAGCAGACATGAAGCAACATTCTCAGTCATTCAGAGTCTTGTTTGTTTCCAGCTGATGAGTGCAAGTTGAAAATGTACTCTTCTTTTAGCTCCACCAATTCCTGGGAAAAGTCTCTTTAGCTGCTTCATGTTCACCTGCTCGTCACTACCTCTGTCTGTCTATGTGTCTGCCTGTCTGTGTGCAGTCTAGTCAGGTAGTGTGCTGTGTGTTTGTCATAGACCTGTTCATTGCAAAGCGCTGCCTGTTGCTGAAAACACAATCAGAGAACACCAAACCACCAACAACGCTGACTGCTGAGTTGCTCATAATTCTCTGTGGGTCACTTAGCACGTGTCTTTCATATTACACACAGCTATTTGATCCACTGTGGACGTAAAGATATTGATTCCAGTAACTTTAGCATGGTGTGTGGACACTCACCACAGTTACGTCCACACCTCAATGTTGCCTCCTCTCCTCTGCTTACTCCTGCTGACATTAACATTGTGAATCAAGGTCGATTTTATCTGACTAGAGAGAGAACTACTGTATGTAGGCTTTTGTATTATGTAACAGCCGTTGTGTCTATTTTCCTGGATTTGTCCCACAGTATGTCTTTTCTTCATGATCCTCCTGCGATAAAGACTGCAGCACTATTAGATTCACGCAGAGATACTGCTGACTCAGCCGCTACCTGCAGGTAGACCGGAGTGTCATCGGCAGCCACATCTCAATCACTGCTCTGCATCGTGAGTTTATGTCAAAATATTATCATCGCCTCAAGTAACACTATAGCTTGCCTTTGTCTGTATGTGTGGAGGATATAGATTCCTGGACAGGCAGGCTGTTTGGCACACTGCCTCATCCCTGTCTGTTGATTCACTGTCAGTGAAATAAGAGAACATATGGCTGCTCTCTCCCTGCATTACATCATCTTGAGATCCAAGCAGATTATTTGCATTTACAGTACTTGGAAAAAAATTGGATGGATTCGTTGTGTTCCCTGCAAAAATTGGCATGGCTGGCTTCAGAAATGAAGTGTGTCTTAATAAAGTGGATGAACAAAAGGTCAGCGACTTTTTTCTTTTTTTTTGCTTGAAATGAATGCAGGCTGGGATGTACTTTTATACTCTGTATCCCGCTTAACCCAGCGCACAGCTCAGCCAGATGCATTAGGCTCAAGAGTGTTAGTATTGATCCATCTGAGTTATATCACATCATGCAGAGCTACTGCCCGCTGTACACATTCAGGCTCATGTGAAGACTTTGCATGTGGTTGTTATCGGCTATTCACTGGTTTCCATTAGCTTTCTGATGTAGCTTCTCTCCACGGCTCTTTTCATGCACTGATGCACCGTGGACTCTCTCTGCTCTGATATCGGAGTGATTTGGTTCAAAACATCTTGACCTCGGCCAATGTCTCCTCTTACCAAGCCAAAGCACTCTCATTCGAAGCCTGTTGCTTGAGCTGGGTATAGAAGCTCAGTACTTTTGGTACAGACCAGATGAAAGTCTGATAGATCAGTGCACTTACTAACTTAATCTTCAGTTGTAGAACTTTCAACTGTGTCACACAGTCATCATCAGTTTATGTTATTTGCTGAGTTGCTGTGGAGAAGGAGTTGTTGAGACAACTAGCTTTTCTGTACATGTTAACGACAAGTTAAAGAAACACTTTGTAACTTTTGCTGAGCAACAGCAACCTCTCCAGCCATTAGTGTTATTAACTCTGTTGGGCTCCAAGTCCATGCAATTAGAGTTTTCATGAATAGAAAACAAGTATATTCCACTTTATTCCGCTGCCTCCTAAACAGAAAGTGTTGCCACTATGATTCTGAGAAGTCACCCTGGACTCACTCTCATGTGTTGGAAGCTTTAACCAAAATCCAGCTCATTCTCTTTGAATAGGGAAATGTCATGCATTGCCAAACTGCACAGTGGTTCTGTATTGAGCCAGGCTAAACTTTTAATGTGGCAGCGGAGGCACCAACCAATCCAATCGCATTTGAAGAAATAGTGAAGCACAACCACTAACTAATCAAACTCATTTTAACATGACAGCTGATTGTTGCCGTCACGACATTAAGCACCAAGCGGCGTGCCTTTTCACCTAAGCAGATGCTATCCAATGGTGAACACCATGTGATGCAGTCGAAAGATTTGAAAAAAGCTGATAAGTAATATAAAATAGAATAATCCTTTATTAGTCCCACAATGGGGGAATTTGCAGTGTTACAGCAGCACTGTTATGAAATTCAGTTTTAGCAAGTGACATAAAGTGGTGTCAGAATCAATACTGAACTAGAATGGCACTAGAGCGAATACATACACACACAGACAAAACATATCCATCGTTGCAGAGGTAAATATTGTATTATAAATAGTATAAAAACACAATTCATAACCTTGTATCACATCTTTCACATTAGTTGCATTTAATAGAAGAGATAGAGGCTGAAATTAGGGAAGCAAACATCCCTAGATGTCACCAAGTTTAGAGTCTGGAGCTGGAGAAGTGTAAAGAAGATTTCGAAAGAGCATTGGAGGGAATTTCCTTTTACAGAACTGATATTTTTTTATCCAACACCTCACACATGAATTCTGTTCTGCATGTTTCCCCAGTTCTCTATGTTAGTAAGAATGGATATTTTTGTTTGCTTTCATTCTCCATGAATTCATTGTTCAAATCCCAGAAATACAGATTTTCGCAGACATAAGAGATGCAGGTTATTCATTTAACCACAGGTGTAGTCTTTAGCAGGATTCTGTCATCATAATGGTGATGAGTGTATGCAAACAGTGTCACTGTTTCAGCCAGCACCCACACCGAAACCCACACTCACACCCTAAAACCACGAACGCTCGCAGACACAGACGAACTTAGATGTGGGGACAGATATAGCAGGCGGCTGGTCATTTTTCCTATATTTAGCTTTTCCTCTGAGCGTTTTCGACTTGTTTTCACTTTGCTTGCACAATGGCTCCCATTCTATGGCTCTTTGTACCTCCTTCCTTGTTCCTGATTTGGTATGCTACTGCTATAATTACATATTTTCCTCCCACTTTTCAGTAAATGAACCTGTGGTCAGTGAGTCTCTGACTGTAACTATCAATATAGCAACTATTTGTATTTATAGAGTGAT